CCTCTGATGAAGCCCTCTGACCACTGACCAGGGATGTGAGTAGCTTGGCTATCAGACCGAGTGCGTTGGGAAGTGGCTGAATTCTTATGCAGTTAGGTTAAAATTTAACACCCTATCATTTGTTCTACCTTTTGACTTATTTTAAATCTGTTCTATTTATTTTTCTCTCTAAATTTGTTCTTTAATATTTTCTGCTTTCCTATCAATTGAGGTTTTTCTGTTTCATTTTGTAATTGTTCAGGTTTTAAATCCAGCATAGGAAAATCTGTAGAATTATAGTTAAACTATGATGCTCATAGTAAACTATTAAATTAATAATAAAACTGTAGGATTAATAATTTCCTAGGGGTATACAGGGGAGATTGGAGGGGAAATGGGAAACTAACAATAACTAGTAGAGAAAGAGGAATATTCTGAAATTATTTGTATTGTTCACTGGGCAACTGTTTTTATATGATTGAAATATTGAATTGTAAGACATGTAAATTTTATGTCAACAAAACTGTAACAAAAGAAATAAAAATGTAGTCATAATACTGCATAATGAAGTTGTTTGGGCAACTAACCAGGATGATGTACAAGCCTCTTAGCCTAGCAGCTAACACACTGTATGGGCTCAAGAAGGGTCACTGATTGCTATTAAAGGACATTTGGGAGGCAGTGGAGTGGGAAACTGCCCTAACTGGGCAGTTTTTCTGGGTTAGTCGGGGAGAGGAGACTGGTGAGGGGATTTGAGGTGAGGGTGAAGCTCAGATCAGCGGCCAGGAAAATAGGGAAGGCTTTCAACAGGAGCAGTTACCAGCTTTCCAGTAGCTCAGAATGCTTGTCAGGGGTGGAAGCTGAACATTCCTGAGATGAAATCCTTTGGTTACCACCATAGCAAAAGAGAATGGTTGAATGAACCCAGAGATGGGGAGTGAAAGTGGAATTGTGGTGGGGATTCAAGGAAAGGCAGAAATTTCTAGCATAGTCTTCATAGAACACAAGAATAAAGAATACTATATAATGTCATTTTGAATTGAACAGTTTAAAACTGAACACTTTGTGACGGTGAAGCCATGAGCATGATATAGACAGGTGATAAGTAGATGCCGTTGCATTGATTCTAACTTATAGCAACCTACACACAACAGAACCAAATATTGACCAGTCTTGCATCATGCCTCGAATCACCAGCACATTTAAGTCCATCATAATGTATCCATAGCATGACATTATTTAAGTCTATGTCTTAGTCTGGGTTGACTAGAGAGACAAATTCGTAGACACTCATATGTGTAAAAGAAAGAGCTTTATATACAAGAGCA